CTTTTTTTCCTGTACTTTCATTTTGCATGTTTGGTGGTGTGCGCGGTGTTGTCGTGTTATTGTGCGTGAATGGTTAACACCAGCGCCAATGTGGCCTGGTGTGTGTGTGTGTGTGTGTGTTTCTGTGTGTTAAGGGGTTAACAGTAATATCCGAGGCGGAAAAGGGTGACCTGCCGAGTGTTATTATTCTTCTCACATGAATAATGGAACTTAATATGGAGGAGGCGATAGCTGGGAGCGCACACACACATAAACACACACGCCAACCAGAGGAGGATCTCGCTGTCATTCTCAATCCCTCCTGAGACGTCCAGGGGCCAGAGAGAGTCACCGTGCCCAGAGAGGAGAGGCCTTGGCTGGGAAATGTTAACCAACGGTGGGGGGTCTGTGTGGTAAAAGAGGGGGAGAAGCCTGGAAGACATCTGGTCAAAATTCAATCAATTATGTAGTACTTAGAAAGCCATGACAAACATAAAATGGATAGTGGAGGACTACTCTTTCTCTGCTGCTGCTGCTGCTGGTTGGTTTTCTTCTTCTTCTTCTTCTGGCATTCGTCCTCGTCTTCATCTCCTCTTTGCCACTATTGATACTAAACTCAGCGTACTTGAACTTTTGTGAACTTCACGCTGTTTGTCTTGTCTCCGTCCCGTTCCCGAGATCCCTCTATTTCTCAAAAGATATGCGGTTGTTTTCATAATCAGTACCAGTATAATTTACAGAATTTGTCATCCTAATAGAACTGATGCATAATTCAAACAGCCATCCGTCTCTTTAATAGAATTCTAAGGAGATTAATTGCTCGCTCCCTCAAACGCTGTGGCAATAGAGGAAGACCGAGGGGAAAAAAAAGGGCTAAATCCAGTAATTGAAGTGTGGGAGCAGATTGCTGGACACTGGTGTACAAACCATCCCACTATCCAAATGAGCTCTGCGCATGTTAGTCTATCAGCGAGTGTCCTTTAAAGGGATCACAGTCGGTGAAAGCCTTCGCTCTGCTCAAAGGTCGGCAGGTATGAGTCACGCAGAGATGAGAGGAGGACAGGTGTTTACACTGAGACGTAGCGTGGCTCTGGATGTTGAATGTGTTCAGACATTAATAATACATTACGATAGCATAAAGAGTCAGTTTTTAATATCTGGCGGTACATAAGGTCATAGACGAGCTGCGCCAAACGGCAGACAGACAGCTGTTTGAATATTAAAGGCCCTCAACGCGTATTTTTCAATCCTATCTTTGCTATGAGGTCCTCCGTCAGCTTTTGAATGATCTCGGCTATTTCATAAAACAGATTTTTAATTTTTTTTGTGCTCAGTTTGGAGCAGGTGCAGCTCAGAGAAATGTGGTGTCTGGAAACTCTGTGCACCAATCAGGAGTTAGCAACGTTTTGTTTAAAATGTAATGACAGTAGTTAGATAGTTGACTTTTGTTGCCTGTAAAAATCAGTTCTGTCCAAGATATTAGCTGTTCTAAAACATCAGTAAAATTGTTGTTATTGTATACTTAGTTCCCTGGTGGTCTAGTGGTTAGGATTCGGCGCTC